CTTGTCTGTGTTTGTAAAGTCACAATTGCCAGGATAAATGATTTCCCCATATTTCTAAAATGGCAGTGATACATTTTTGACTTAATAGATTTTACTGTAGAAAAAGGGCATTTCTCTGTCTTGTGATTTTTATTTCATCAGACTTTTTTCTTTCCCCTAATTCAGCAGGTTTAATAGTCATTATGACACTTTCAGTGTTGGTGGCGGGGGTGGGGAGGAATTCAGTGGCAGTTAAGAATATCTTTGATGAAGCAGTAAAATTATGTCTTTTTAATGTTAAGTGATGAAATGGAAAGTGTACACAAAGAACCAATGCAGCATTTCAAAGTATAATGTTATCTTAAGAAAAAGCAATTGTGTGATTGCATTGAGAGCTAAACTAGCCAAGTTTTCGTTTGTTTGTTTTTCATAGAACACCATTTTACTGGAAAGAATAAACTATGGTTATTTAGACTTGAGTATTTAGCAGACATTTTCTAAAATATTGAAGAAGTAAGCCTGACAGTATTGAGCCAACCTTGCATCCTTGATATAAACTCCACTTAGCTATGATGTACTCTTTTCCATCTATTATTAGATTATATTTGGTAATTTTTGTTGAAGATTTTGTGTGCATGTCTATGAAGAATACTGGTTGTTGTTTTTTGTTGTTTGTTTGTTTTTTAAACAACAGAACTTTATTGTTTCATAGTTCTGGGGACTGGAAGTCTGAGATCAAGGTGTTGACAGGGTTGACGGCATTCTGAGGCCTCTCTCCTTATCCATAGATGGCTGTCTTCTCTCCCTTAGCCTTAATCTTCACATGGTCTTTCCTCCGTGCATGCATGCCTGTGTCCAAATTTCCTTTTTTTAATTCCTTATTGTTTAAAGTATTACTTATATTACATATGTCTTTTTCCCCCCACATTGACCTCTCCCCAACCACCCCCAACCCCTGCACATTCCCTCACCCCCCTACTGTGTCCATTGGTTATGCTTATATGCATGCATACAAATCCTTTGGTTGATCTCTTACCTCCCCTGCCTTCCCTCTGAAGTTTGACAGCCGGTTTGATGCTTTTCTGTCTCTGGATCTATTTTTGACCATCAGTTTATGTTGTTCATTATATTCCACAAATGAGTGAGATCATGTGATATTTATCTTTCTCCAACCGGCTTATTTTGCTTAGCATAATGCTCTCCATGTCCATCCATGCTATAACAAATGATAGATACTGGTTGTTTTTTCTTTCGTAACAACTTTGTCTGGATTTGGTCTCAGGTAATACAGGCAAGTACATCTTCCTCTTCTATTGTTTTTGGAAGACCTTGTATAGAATTCATATTATTTTTCCTTAAACACTTGGTAGAATTTGCCAGTAAAACCATCTAAGCCTGGAGCTTTCTTTCTGAAGAAGTTTTTAACTACAAATTCAAGTTCTTCAATAAATATACAGTAATTAATGTTATGTTGTCTACTTGTTCATGAGATCTGGTATTTAGCTCTCTTAAGGAATTTGATTAACTCACCTAAATCAGGGGTTGACAAACTTTTTCTTAAATTGCTAGATAGTAAACATCTAGGCTTGTGGGCTATGTGGTCTCTGCTGCAACTACTGAGCCATATACAATATGTAAACAAATGGGTGAGGCTTTGTTCCAAAAAAAATTTTATTTACAAAACAGGCAATGGCCCATCTCTAATTTATCAAATTTATTACATTAAGTTGTCCATATTACCTTATCATCCTTTTAATTTCCATCTAAGCCCTGTTTTAGCTGTCACACATCTTGTTATGTTGGGTGTCTATTTGCATTTAATCTCAAAATTTGTCTGATTCTCTTATGACTTTTTCTTTAAACCAAGGTTATTTAGAAGTGTGTTGATTAATTTCTAAAAATTTAGAACATTTCCAGGTATCTATTAGTGACTTCTATTTTATTTCCATTGTAGCCATAGAGCAAATGTATGATTTCAATCTCTTCAATTAGTTTAGATTTATTTATGGTCCAGAATACAATCTACCTTGGTGAATCTTCTATGTATACTCAAAAAAAAAAAAAAAACCAATGTATTTTCTTCTGTGGTTGAGTGGAATGTTCTACAAATGTCAACAAGGTAAAGTTCAACATTGTTCAGGTCTTTTATATTGTTATAGATTTTGTTTACTTGTTATATCAATTACTAAGAGTGCAGATATATCCAGCTACTTAATAGATTTATCTAACTCTCCTTGCAGATCAGCTTCTAAAGATCTCCTTTTAAAAGAGGTGAATTGATCTCTTTATCATTATGTAATATCCCTCTTTATATCTTCTAATAGTCCTTGTTCTGCAGACTATTTTGTCTGATGTTCATACAACTACCACTCCAGCTATCTTTTAATTAGTATTTGCAAATTATCTATCTTCTCATCCTTTTAAATTTGGGGGATTTTTTAAAGTATATAATCCTACTTTTAACATCTAATCTACAATCTCTGCCTTTTAATTGGGGTGTGTAGATCATTTACAGTAATATATGTAGTGCTACAGGTGGATTTAAGTCTACTATTTTGTTAGGTATTTTCTATTTGAGCCATTTTTTTTGTCATGGTCTTGCCTTCTTTTGTATTGGGTGTTTTTGTTTTTTTAAGATTCCATTTTATCTCCACTATTGGCTAATTAGCCAAATCTCTATTTTTAGTGATGACTAAGGGCTTACATACATTTTTGATTTATCACAATTTACCTATTTCTAAATAGTGTTATACCACTTCACATAAATTGAGACCCTTACTACAGCACACTTCCATTTCCTCCCTTATTATTTGTTATTGTCATTTTAAATTTGAATGAATTTCATAATGTGTTAGTCTAGTTTTTGCTTTAGATGAGGGGTTGAAAAATTATGTCCAGCAAGCCAAATCCAGCCAATGACCTGTCTTTTTGTGTGACCTCTGAGCTAAGAATGGCTTAATTATTTTCCAAAGGGTTGAAAAGTGGAGAGTGAGAAATCAAGAGAAGAGAATGAGAATCTGTTTCTTTGCTCTGGTTATCTTCACAAAAGTCTCTTTATCTGTGGTCTTTAGTAATTTGACTATGATGTGTCTAGGTATTTTTATTTTTAAATTACCCTACTTAGGCTTCTCTGAGCTTCTTAGAACTGTTATTTTTAATTCATTTTTTAAAACTCCTTAGCCTTTATTCTCCAAGTACTTCTGCTTTGTTTTTTCACTCTTCTCCTGAAATTCCAGTTATATGTATGATAATTTGATTTTATCCCACAGCTTTGAATCATCTGTCTTATTGTATTTATTCATTTTTTTCTCTTTGTATTTCACTTTGGATACTTTTCATTGACTTATCTTCAAGTGCAGATTCTTTTCTCAGCTGCGCCAAGTCTATTAATGCGTCCACAAAAAGGTATTCTTCATTGCTGTTGGCATCATGTTACTTTTATTTCTAGCATTTCCATTACAGCTGAAGTTGTCCAACTGTTTATGTAGGTTGCCCACCTTTTCCACTAATTCCTTTAATACTTTAATCATAGTTATTTTAAAGTTTCTGTCCCATAGTTCAATATCTGGGTCATTTCTGAGTTTTATTCTATCATTTGTTTCATCTCTTGGCAATGGACTGCTTTCTGTTATTTTTTTTTTTAAGTCAAGATTTTAGATTGAATGCTGCAGTTTATGGAGAATAGTAAAGACAGATAAATAATATTTACCCCTGGCCATGTGGAGGACTGAGTAAATCTAGTAAAAACAGGCTTAGATTTTGTTGTTACTTTTACCTTTGGTGCACCACAGTCTGCATGTTCCTCCAGGGATTGGCTGCTATTACCCTGTACTTAGACTAGGACCTGGGTGCCAGAGGGTTTGTTTTCCTGCTCCTCCCTCAGCTTTTAGCAAGTCCTGCTTACCTGTGTCATTTACAGTTTTGTGCCTTCCCAAAGCGGTAAACGGCTCTTGTTTGTTATCTGATACTGAGCTGACGAGATGGGTGGAGGCAGAAATTCTTAGTTTTCCTTGTGCATTCTCAGGCTTAGGTAGGGCTGTGCACCTGAGGCCTAGGGTGAGGCCTCAGAATTTCTACCTCCTCCCCCATGGCAGCGAAACAGGGCCACTTCTTCTTATAGGTTTGAACAGGAGAAATGTTCTTGCACTTCTCTCAGTAATTACAGATCTCTGGTATTGGTACAGAATCCTGGGCCCAAGGTTTTCTGTCTCTCCCAGGGGCAAAAGGTTTTTACATTTATTCCTCCACCACAGGCAGTGGATCTTGGAGGCAGGAAGGTTTGCACTCTCTTCTGTAGAGGCTAACGCTTTTACTCACACAGCAGGAAACATCTGAGGAAGTAGACAGTGTTTCACATCTGCCACCCAGTATCATTCTATCAACCACTACTGCATGTCTGTGTCACCGAGGAACCTCTTCCTGCCAGGCTCCTGCCCCAATCACTCTCATTCACACGCTGCAGATGCTGGTGGAAAGGCACTCCTGAGTGAACGTGAACTACTAGCATGTCAGGACTCCCATTCATTCTAAGCTAGTATTTTTTAGTCCACACTTGCCCTTTAAAGAATTATTTAAAATTTTAGCTGATTTCTGTTGGGAGACAGCTCTTCCTGGGTCTCTCGTGTTCCTGGCATAATCTGTGAATAGAGGCCCTGACAGACTGCCTGTGTTCTGGACTATCTTTTCAACCATCTCTCTCTAGAAGAGAAAATGCCATCTCTCTCTAGAAGAGAGACAGTTTTGATTACTTCCTACTATAATAAATATGTCTCCCTCCAGAGCAAAGGGCACACATGCATAATACCCATTATAAAATATTTAGGTTCCCTGAGCTCTCAGGGTTCCTTCCCTATAACGCAACCCAGTGTGGGCTGCAGTCAGGGAACCAATACAAATAGTGACGCTCTGGGATATGCTATTACAGTGAGTAATTAAGTCCTCTGTCTCTGATTCAGGAATCTGGAAGCTAACATAACTGGCAGGTCAGGTAAAAGCTTAAACTACTAATAATTTTTCCTTACTTGCTTTACTGGCAGCCTCCGATACTCTGCCAAAGGTGGGATGGTTCATATCTCCTGTCTTTCTTTGAAAGGGCTTGTCACTCTGACTTCAGTTCCTTTGGTTGCCTTCTCTGATGGGTATAAGAAAAGTTATTATTTTTTTCTTGTTGTTAGGGTGGGAGCAACATTCTCTTGCAGCTTTCTACATCTTAAGTGGAAGCACAGATCCCAAGGTATACTTACTATTTGATTACTTTCTATTACCAAAGACAGGCACTTACTGATCTGTAAACTCTTATTGTTCAGCATATAAACATGTTTAATTAGCTCTTAAAAGAAACATAGCTTGAGGGATTAACTCCAGGAATTTTGGAAAAACAGCTCATGGAAAATTTCAACACAAGAGCTGGAAGCAATGGCCCAAGGATGTTTACCTTCCAGCAGGTGTGGCAGGAGAGACAAAGAATCTGACAGGTGAGTGATGAGATATTATGAGAAATGTACATATGCACTGGCCAACAAGTCTTTTAGAGGATTGGGGAACATACAGGAAAACTACAAGCACTTGGGCGAAGAGACAGGGTTCTTGAAGTTCTCAAAAATGGGCGGGAGGATGTGACAGGAAGACCTGAAAGGATACGAAGGACAGATGGAAGAACAGCCAAGTGGTGTTGTAAGGACAACCTTTCCACAGTCACACCTTTTCCTCCACATTCATTCTCACTTTTTCTGGTAAACAGAATCTAGATTTCTTTTGTGAAACTTACCTCTTCTACATTGTGGAAGTCTGCTTACTCTTCCCCTGACCAACTTTCACAGCACTCCCTGAATCAGAGGATTAGAAAAATATTTGGAACTAATTCAACACTGAGCTGTTAGTTCCTGCTACATAGATCCTTGGTTCCTATCTTTGCTTAAATTTTCTTCTAATTCCATTAATTACCCAATACAGTCGGCCCTCCATATCCATGGATATTGCATCCATGTAGTCAACCAACCATGAATCAAAATTATCTTTTTAAAAACCCCAGAAAGTTCCAAAACACAAAACTGTGTTTGCTATACACTAAGCACTACGCTGAATCCACATGATGATGTGAAGTGATGTGTAGGCACACCCTGCTGTAGCCTATATGCAAATATAAGTTATATAAGTCATATGCAAATGCTATACCATTTTACATATGGGACCCGAGGATCCTCAGATTTTAGTATTTGAAGGGAGGGGTCATAGAACCAATGCCTCTCAGACACCAAGAGATGACTGTATTGCCATTTTGCTTAAATTAACCAGGATTGAATCTGTGTTGCTTGCAACCAAAGAAAACCAACAGATACAGGGTATATGTAGAGAACATGAAAGTAAACTAAAATTCATATACTTTTTAAAAAAATATTTAAAAACCATGTATTAATAACTGTCAAAAATGTTGGCTATAGTACAGTGACTAATCGATTTCCTGTTTCTTTGTGTTTGTAAGTAATAAGCATTTTCTAATGGTTAGGCTGACAATGTTTTATTATTACAACCTATATTTAGAGTTTATCTCATATCTCCCATATTAGAAATAAAAGCAAGTCCTAGCCAGTTTGTTCAGTCGTTAGAGCATCGGCCCACGGAGTGGAGAGTCAAGGGCTTGATTCCAGTTAAGGGCACGTACCTCGGTTGCAGGCTCAATCCACGGTCCCAGTCAGGGTGTGTGCGGGAGGCAACCAATAGACATGTCTCTCTCACACTGATGTTTCTCTCTCTCTATCTCTCCCCCTCCCTTCTCTCTCTAAAAATCAATGGAAAAAATATCCTCAGGTGAAGATTAACAAAAAAGAGAGAGGGAGGGGGGGAGGGAGAGAATTAACTGAAATAATATACATTACATGCTACAGGAGAAAAATTGAGGAGGAGGTACTGAGAGTAGCAAATGACCTGTTACAATAAAATTTATGCATTTATTGAAATTGAGCTGTTTGTGATTTTTTTAAAATTCCAGTTATGAAAGTCATTTGTACTAGGTAAACCATATGTGGAGAAAATTTCAAGCACAAGATATACCAAGTATGTAGTATAATGAGAAATACAGTGGAGCGCCAAATAGGATGGTCTCAACAAATGTCTCAAAAAATGCACAGAGCAAAATTGAGATGAACTACTGCTACAAATAGATAAGCCCAACAAGTGCTGTTGGAATGAAAAATTATTATTTTTTGGTTAATTTCACCCTCTCGTTATATAAAAGAGGTCCAATGGCCTGGGAGACCACTTGATTTGCTCAGAGGATAGCTTACAAGGATAGATTTCACACAGGGTTAAGATGAGGAAGCCTCTTTTATTTATTTATTTATTTATTTTGAGGAGAATGACAGAATGTTAATTCCTATTTAATCTGAAATTTAGCAATTATAACTTGTAGAAATAAAAGAAGGTTAAGAGAGATCGACCCAGCAATTCCACTTTGGGGAATATCTCCTAAAACCCCAAAAATTCCAATCAGAAAGAATATATGCACCCCTATGTTCACAGCAGCATTATTTACAACTAGAGGCCCAGTGCACAAAAATTTGTGCACTCGGGGGGGGGGGGTCCCTCAGCCTGGCCTGTGCCCTCTCATAGTCTGGGATCCCTTGGGGGATGACCACCTGCTGGTTTAGGCCGGCTCCCTGGGGAATTGGGCCTAAGCTGGCAGTCAGACATCACTCTGGCAGCCCAGGAGCCCTCGGGGGATGTCCACTTGCCAGCGGGGAGCAGGCCTGAGCTGCAGTTGGACATCCTTAGCACTGCTGAGGAGGCGGGAGAGGCTCCTACCACCACCGCTGTACTGGCAGCCATCAGCCTGGCTTGTGGCTGAGCAGAGCTCCCCCTGTGAGAGCACCCTGACCACCAGGGGGCAGCTCCTGCATGGAGCGTTTGCCCCCTGGTGGTCAGTGTGTGTCATAGTGACCAGTCATTCCCAGTCTTTCTGCTGTTAGGGTCAGTTTGCATATTACCCTTTTATTATATAGGATAGAGGCCTGGTGCATGGGTGGGGGCCGGCTGGTTTGCCCTGAAGGGTGTCCCGGATCAGGGTGGGGGTCCCGCTGGGGTGCCTGGCCAGCCTGGGTGAGGGGTGGGGGGTCCCCACTGGGGTGCCTTGCCAGTCTGGTGAGGGGCTGAGGGCCGTTTTCAGGCTGGCCAAGCCCCCCGGCGACGGAAGCTCCCAGCCTCTCCTTTTTTTCTTTTTTTAAATTCTGGGTTTTATTTACCTTCTATAATTGAAACTTTGTTGCCCTGAGAGGAACTCAGAGCCGGCTGGGGCGGGTGGGAGGGAAGCCTCCTGCTCGCTCCAGCTCCGTGGCCACAGCTGGCTGAAAGCAGGTATCTGGGGTTTATTTACCTTCTATAATTGAAACTTTGTTGCTTTGAGTGGAGCTCAGAGCCGGCCGGGAAGCTTGGCTTCCTCCATCACTGGAGCAACCAAGCCTCCTGCTCGCTTCAGCTCCATGGCTGCTGGCCGCCATCTTGGTTGGGTTAATTTGCATATAGTCGCTCTGATTGGCTGGTGGGCATGGCTTAAGGCATAGTGAAGGTATGGTCAATTTGCATGTTTGTCTTTTATTAATGTAGATAGCTAAGATTTGGAAATAGCCCAAGTGCCCATCAGAAGATAAATGGATTAAAAAAAACTGTGGGACATTTACACAATGGAATACTATGCAGCTGTAATAAAGAGGGATCTCTTACCCTTTGGGACAGCATGGATGGACCTGGAAAATATTATGATAAGTGAAATAAGCCAATCTGAGAAAGACAAATATCACATTATCTCACTTATTTGTGGAATCTAATGAACAAAATGAATTGACCAACAAAATAAGACCCGAAGCATGGAGGCATGGAGCAGACTGACATACCTTAATGTGGGGCTGGGGGGCTGAGAAGAGAGAAACCAAAGAACTTACATACTTATAGGCATAGCCCATGGACATGGGAAATAGGGTAGTGAAGACATGGGGGAGGTGGGCGGGGCTGGGAGAATGGGGATAAAGGGGAGGAAAAGGGGAGATATCTGTAATACTATCAATAATAAAAAGTTTATTTAAAAAAATAAAAAACAAAAGATTCTTTTACAGATATATTTTATATCTATGAGAATTATATATAAGAACTGTCATATATTCTATTATATGCCTCTCTATACATAGAATATATAATAAACCTAACACAATATATATTATATTGTGATATATGTCTCACTCTGAGTCCTTTTTAGGGTTATGTTATTACTTTTTAAAAATATTATAAACAGAATTTATAAGATAAGGTTGTGTCCAGATAATAATCAGAATAAGACCAGCTAATATTCAAGATTTTTTCAAACACAGTAACTGAGTAGAACCAAAAAATTCAGGGAGCCCACTCTGCTATGGTTAGTTTAACACAGGGTTACTTAATCTTGGCACTACTGACATTTGTGCAGGATAATTCTTTGTTGTGGAAGGCTGCCCAATGCATTATAGGGTGTTTAGCAGCATCCCTGGCCTCTGCCCTCTAGATGCCAGTAACACCCCTAATCAAAAATGACTCTCGACATTGCCAAAAGTCCCCTGGGGGCAAAACTGCTCCCTGGTTAAGAAACACTATAGTTTTAACATCATGAAAACAAAATAGATACAACTGCTAGCTCTATGATCCCACTGTGGAGTCAACTGTGATTAAACTAGAGTTACATTTATATTTTAGTTCAAAATACATTAGGCTAGAACTAAGTTAAATTAATTATACCAGTTCTTGTCTAGCGCAGAGCTGTCCGATACAGTAGTTACCAGCCACATGTTGCTTCTGAGCACTTGAAATGTGGCTACTCTAAAGTGAGCCGTGCATTAAGTATACAATATGCACTTGATATGAAAAAAAAGGATGCAAAATATCTCATTTTTATGTTAAATGAACTATTTTGGTTATACTTTCTCGTGAAGTATATTATTACAAATAATTTGACCTGCTTGCTTTTACTTTCTTTAATGTGGCTACTAGAAAATTCTAAATTACAAATATGGCTCATATTATAGAAATTTGAAATAATTTAGTATTATTTTTTAATGAAATAAATTCTTAAGTCTATTAAATAAGCCAAATAGATCTTGGAAAGCTTTCCACAGCCCTACTGAATCAGCTCATTTTTGAACATCATAACTCTTATCACGCCTGATTTTTCTGCTTTAAACACATTACTTCTATTCCAGTGCTTTATTCCCTATAATTCAATCCGTTCTTTTCTTACTGCTGATTTATCTTCAGGTTGTTTATCATTCTCCTGAATGTCAGTTTCTTTCATATACTCAGGACCTTTCCTAGTGGGATGTTGAGATGCTGCAGCATCCATCATACGTAGAAAATCATAAGCAGGAAGAGGAGGTTTCCATTCCTGAGCAGATAAAATTGCTAGAAAAAAAGATACAATCAAGAGTTAACGATGAACAGATAAAAAAAATCATCACATAAATATACTTAAAAACGGTGTTTTCTAAAAAATATATTTTTATTGATTTCAGAGAGGAAAGGACAGGGAAATAGAAACATCAATGATGAGAGAGAATCATTGATCGGCTGCCTCTTGCACGCCCCCTACTGAGGATCGAGCCCGCAACCCCGGGCATGTGCCCTCAACCAGAATCGAACCTGGGACCTTTCAGTCTGCAGGCTGACGCTCTATCCATTGAGCCAAACCAGCTAGGGCAAGAAAACGTTTTATTTTTAAAAATATATTTGTAGAAGTGAAAACTTTATCACTTTTACTTACCTAAGCAAAACTATTTATTTTACTACATTATTTAAGAAACTTGATACACTCCTCATTACTAGCCAATCTATTATTTATATTTGCACACTATAATATTGTAAATAAAGTAAGGAAGAAAACAAAAGGTCCATAATCTCCCTGCCAGTTAATCCTGTTGAAGTTTTAGAAAACAGTAATATGTTTATGAGATTATCACATCAATAGGTACAAGTTAAAATGAAAAGGTTTCTTGCTTCCCTGCCCACCACTGCCTT